TAAACCTATTCAACTTAAACTCGACTCTGGGGCTGAGACAAACTTTTTAACTAAATCTGATTTTGAGAAAGTCGTACCGAGACGACAGCGCCATCACAAGCTGAAACTAAGCCAGGCGAAACTGACAGCCTTTGGTGGACACCCCATCCCTGTTATTGGCAAATGTTATTTACGATGCACCCATAAAGATTCGACTCGAGTTGTTGAATTTCATGTGGTCGAAACGGGAACATCTCTCTTAGGTTGCGCAGACTGCAAGAGTATGCAACTTATTACGTTTAATAACATTGAACAAATTACGAGCGAAACGTGTTCCCTATCTGGACTATCGATCGAAAAAATATTCACGAAATATCCACACTGTTTCAAAAACTGGCTCAAGATGGCGTCAGCGTGTGTAAATGGCGCTCTGTATCGAGTTCTCATTTTCTACATCTGCTATATATTTTTGAAAGGACATATGTCCTCAGAAAGCTTAAAGGGAGTTAGATCTATCTCTAGCTCTCTTTATGTTGGTAAAATATTGACAACAATTGAAATTTCAACGACTTCAAGCGAGATCAAATACAAGTACAAGCCAACTAACATGGCTTTGTCTACGAAGCTGATCAAGATTTCCAAACTTATACAATACATTACGATGGCAGCCTTAATTCTAGTAGCTGGTGATGTATCATCAAATCCGGGATGGACTTATTCTGCTGTGGACCAAACTGGTCTAAAAATCGCCCACCTAAACGTTCGTAGCCTTCCTAGACACTTTGACGAATTTAAAATTTGATGAATGATAATCCATTTGATGTTATATGCCTCAATGAAACCTGGCTAAACTCATCATGGACGGACTCTGAATTAGAATTAAATGGCTACAACTTTATTAGACATGACTGTAATGATTCGCAGCGAGGAGGAGGAACTGCCATCTATTATAGCTCGAAGCTTCTTGCTCGTCAAAGAACCGATTTAATACGCCCCGATATCGAAGCGACATGGTTGGAAATATTATTGCCAAATCGAAAGAAATTGCTCATCTGTTCAATTTATAGACCACCGAATATGATATATAATAACTTCAAAGTTTGTTTCGAAAGTATCTTGGAAAAAACATCGACCGAAGGTACAGAATTACTTTTCTTTGGGGACTTTAACTGTGATATGCTTCCTAGGAAATTGTCTGCTGATGCAAGGGACCTTCGTCAACTATTTAACGTTTATCAAGTAACTCAGCTTATTAAATCTCCAACGCGCGTTACAAGCAATTCTTCAACCCTAATTGATCTTGCCTTAGCAACAGATGTAGGAAAAATTGTTGCATCTGGAGTTTTGCAATGCTCGATTAGTGATCACTCGCTTATTTACTTAGTAAGGCGTGCAAGAAAGCCACGAAATACTTTTAGGAATATTCAATTCCGAAATTTAAAAACCTACTCAGCCGAAAGATTTGTTGCAGATTTGCATAATGCCTCATGGGAGGAGATCGACACATCGTTAACTGTAGATGATGCATGGAATGTATTCAAATCATTACTAAACAATATAATAGAAAAACATGCACCACTTCAATCAAAAAGAGCACGGGCAGACAGTCTACCATGGCTCACTAGTGACATTAGGACTTTGATGCGTCAACGTAATTTCCACCATAAAAGGGCTCAAAAAACTAAGTCTACCGACGAGTGGGAAACGTACAAAAAACTACGCAATAAAACAACACGGCTCATTAGAGATACGAAGCGAGACTTTTACTCTAATGTGATCAATGAGAATAAAAAAGACTCTACTAAATTATGGAAAACATTAAAGACTGTAATCTCTAATGCCAAAAAGTCCTCAAGTGTTGGATATTTGGAAACAGCAGTTGGTTTAGCGTGCAAACCGCAAGAAATCGTACAAGGTTTTGCCCAATATTTTTACGAAGCCGTAACGAACATAAGGCACAACTTACAATCTCTAGCTTCCCCTGTGATATGCTCAGTTCCTAAACCAAATTTCACGTTTCGACTTTCCACAATAGATGAGACTTTTGTCTATGACCAACTGAAGAAAATTAAAACATCCAAGTCAACTGGGTTAACTCATATTCCCGCACGCCTGCTGAAAGACGGCCGTAATGCCCTAGCTAAACCTCTAACCGTCCTAATGAATAGATCACTAGCTGAAGGTACCATACCATCTGAATGGAAACATGCCATGGTAACGCCGGTGTACAAATCTGGTTCAAAGACAGATGCTGCTAATTATAGACCCATTTCTGTGTTACCTGTTTTTGTGAAAATACTTGAGCGTGCTGTACACAGTATGGTATACCATTACCTCCAAGAAAACCAACTTTTATCCACCTATCAATCCGGTTTCCGTCCACTACACTCTACTGGTACATGCCTTATAGACACCACCAACAAGTTACTTCACAATATAGACAGGGGATTGCTTACTGGCATGGTCTTTCTAGACCTTTCTAAGGCTTTTGACACTCTAGATCATGATAGGATGCGAGAAAAACTATCCCAGCTAGGGTTTAACGATTCTGCAGTCATTTGGTTTGATGGTTACTTGACAAATCGGACACAAAGTATCACTATAAACGGTGTGGTCTCTGATCCTCAGTTTATACAATATGGTGTTCCTCAAGGGTCGATATTGGGGCCCTTACTTTTTATTATATATATTAATGAACTACCGTCTGTAATTCAGAACTGTAGTATCCAGCTATATGCTGATGACACTTTGCTCTTTTTCAGTAGTAATTCTGTTACATTGATCGAATCCACTTTATCTGGAGATCTAAACCGTATAATAAGTTGGTTAAATAGAAATTTCCTTTTCCTAAACCATTCTAAGACAAAGATCATGTTAATTGGAACGCATCAGAGACTTGCCAAAGTTGATAGCTTTAACATTGAAGCACAAGACACTAAGTTGGATAGAGTTTACAAATTCAAATATCTCGGTGTTATGTTTGATTCATGCCTTTCTTGGAATGATCACATTGATTATATTTCTACTAAGATTTCATCTCGGCTTGGCATGTTACGTAAGGCTCGAAAGATTATTCCGAGGGAGACATGTGTCACACTATATGATGCTATGATTCTGCCCTTATTTGATTATTGTTCTGCTGTTTGGGATAATTGTGGTAAAACAAATTGCGATTTCCTAGAAAAGCTTCAAAGGAGGGCAGCTAGTATCATTGAAGGACGTCGAGTGCTGCAATCTGATGTGAATCTTACACTAAGTTGGCCATCATTACAATCTCGAAGGGAGTATCAAATTTGTCTCCAAGTCTTTAAGTGTCTTCACGGCTTGGCGCCGGTTTATTTATTGCATGAGTTTAACTACTCGCGCGAATTTCATGCTTATAATACAAGACACAAAGATAACCTCCGCCTACCTCTAGCTAAGACCACAAAATATCAAAATTCTTTTCGATATAACGGGGCAAAAATATGGAATAGGTTGCCATTAATATTGAGAAATCAAACCAGGTTTTCTAAATTTAAAATAGATGTAAAGAAGTATCTAAGGACCGAATGTATTTAGTCCAAGAAAGTATTTAGTCTATATTATATGGAATCTACATAATATAGTTATTAGTATACAGTATGTTAAATTGTTGTAATTTTATATATGTTAGTATGTAGCTGTGTGTTTTGTAATTCTATTTTTGCCAGGGCTCCACTTAAACCAGCTATGCTGAGTTGGATGTCCCTGATTAAATATTGTTATCATCATCATCACTGTTTCGAAGGACTCGGACGGATATCTGAACCTTATCACATAAAAGTTAACCCCACCGTCACCCCCGTCATTCACCCCCTCGGAAATTGCCTGCATCCCTTAGAGACAGAGTTCATAGCGAACTGTCGTCTATGGAAGAGAACGGAATAATCAAAAAAGTCGACGGCCCTACGGCATGGGTCAATTCCATGGTTGTCAACGAAAAACGGTCCGGTAAACTACGTATCTGTATCGACCCTCGAGACCTGAATAAAGCGATACTTCGAGAACATTATCAATTGCCTACGCAACAAGAGATAACCAGTCTATTGACAGGCGCTAAATACTTTAGTAAACTAGACGCCACATCGGGATTTTGGCAAATGCCACTAGACGAAGAAAGTTCCTTTCTTACAACATTTAATACCCCGTTTGGTCGCTATCGCTTCACTGTAGTACCTTTCGGCGTGGTATTCGCACAAAAAGTTTTTCATAAGACTGTTCATGAGCACTTTCGAGACATACCCGGTTGCGAGACCAATATAGACAATATTCTAATTTGGGGACGTATGATAGACGAACACGATCGGAATTTAGAACATGTACTTAATCGCGTTAGTCAGATAAATATGAAATTAAGTAGAGAGAAATGCCAATTTCGACAGACCGAGATTACCTACCTCGGTGAGTGCCTCACTCAGCACGGTGTCAAACCTGACGCAGACAAGATAAAAGCAATTAACGATTACGTAAAACCGAGCAATAAACAAAATGTACAATGCTTACTCGGAATGGTGAATTTCTTAGCTAAGTTCGCGTCTAAAGTGTCGGAAGTCATAGCTCCACTCCGAACTGATAAAAAAGAACGTTGAATTTCATTGGTTAGACATTCACGATAAGGCATTTTCAGACTTAAAGATCTTAATTGACCCTGAGGCTCTACGATACTATGACGTAGCCAAACCTGTCACACTTCAAGTTGACGCATCACAGCACGGACTCGGGGCTGCATTAATTAATTCAAGATGCTGGTCCAGTCGCTTATGCTTCAAAAGCCTTGAATGAAACCCAGCGTAGATACGCTCAAATAGAAAAAGAGTTTCTAGCCATTGTCTTTGGCTGCAAACGATTTCACCAATACGTCTATGGTAAAACAATCACCATAGAAACAGACCACAAGAACATTTTTCGCAAGCCCTTATCTCAAGCACCAAGTCGTCTTCAGAAAATGCTGATGCAGGTTCAAGAATATGACATTAACCTAGTCTATAAGAAAGGTAGCATTATCCCGCGCATTTCCACCCGAGCTCAAAGAAGAACAATTCGAAAGGGACATGAACTCCGAGCGATTTATTCACCTGATGTCAACTGCGTCGTATGTAACTGACCGAAAGATTGCAGCAATCAAATCCGAGATTCGTCAAGACGAGACCATGCAAACGCTTCATGAACAGATCGAGAAAGGTTGGCCTGAGCATCGAACGTTCGTCCCACCAGAAATAGGAACATATTTTCCTTATCGTCACGATCTCACCACCCAAGATGATATCATATACAAAGCCCATAACATCCTAATCCCTCCGAAATTACGAGCAGAAAGCCTCACCAAACTACATCATTCCCATCAAGGCATCGAGAAAACCAAACGACTTGCTCGAGAGACTATCTTTTGGCCTGGAATGAGCACGCAAATTGAGAAACATGTATCAAACTGCGAAGCATGCCAGACGAATGCTAATGCTAACCCACGAGAACCTCTCAAACCACACACAATCCCTAATCGTCCGTGGTAGAAAGTCGGGACAGACCTTTTCGAATGGAAAGGTAAAGCACATTTAATCGTTGTAGATTATTATAGTCGCTATCCAGAGGTTGCAGAACTACGCAACACCAAGGCACAAACAGTTATTTCAAAGACCAAATCAATATTTAGTAGACACGGCATTCCCGACGAGGTCATATCAGACAATGGACCTCAATATTCCTCACAAGAATACCAGCAATTTGGGAAAGATTACAACTTTACCCATACAACGATAAGCCTGAGATACCCTCAGTCTGGTGGTCTACACGAGAAAACCGTACAGACTATAAAAAATGTCAAGCACACAACCAAGATCCCTATTTGGCACTCCTCAACTATAGAAATACTCCCATAGACGGTGTAAGTCCAGCACAAGCCTTAATGAGTCGACGACTTGGATCGGTTCTACCAATAGTGCAACACAAACTCACACCATCAGTCATCAATGGCGCACAATTTTCTACTAATCGACAACTCCAGCAACAACACCAGAAACGCTACTACGACAAAACTGCCAGTTTTCTTTCTCCCCTGCGAAAAGGTGAAATAGTGAGATTTAAATATGATCCCAACTCGAAATGGGACAAGGCAAAAGTCGTTCAACCACACGTAGCACCGCGCAGTTACATTATCGAAACGAAAGACGGAGTACAGTATAGGAGAAACAGACGACACCTACGGCGAACTAGCGAACCTCCTTTCGACACAACCGAAGCGCAGGTTGAGAATTTTATGCCATCGTATAAAGCCAGTCATGACCAGACATGGGAAACCAACTATCCCAAGACAACTACAGGAGAAGCTCCTAAAAGAAGTCGATACGGACGTATGATCAATCAAAACCCGAACTATAAAACCTGATTATGAACATATTTACTCATAATTTTAGTTTTCTAGTTTTACCAATAATTATATAGTAATTAGTATTATTTTAATCTTAGGAAAAGGGGGATGTAATATATGATGATTACGTAATGATTGACACTCGATCCAATTAGCTTGATCAGATCATGAATAAGTATTATGTAACATATAACTAACGAGTCAGTCTTATATAGCCTACGCTGAGCTCAACATATATAGTCTTAATAAATATACATATACCAAATATATCCAAGAGTCTATTACACTTGGGTTACGAGAAGCATTGCAACAGAAGTCATTGAGTGGTCTCGATAATACCGCATAAATGAAATCGGCTGTGACAAGGAAACCATGGAGACCATGAAGAAAGGTTCAGCAATGGAAAGAACCATCTTAAAACTCGCTACGACTGCACACCAGAGGAGAGTGAGCGTGCCGATCATTGCCAGCGATTTTCATTAAGCGACTCAAGCACACCTGCACTGCAAACCAATGCTCACACAAGTCTCACTCCCTGTTCTGTTATCAATGTGAAGACATAAAGGCCAAACTAGACGAAATAGAGGTTTTTATCAGATTTTCTTCCGTTCAGACGATGTAGAGAAAGACATAGCAACTGGTTCACCAAGTGAGATCTTAGTTGGCACATCAGTAGTAATTACTCATGATAGCCTAGGAAAGACGAGAGTACTATCTTACGCCCACCTTTTTTATTTGTGTTCTCAAGTTTGGTATGCGTTTACTACATCCATATTAGATAACCTTCTTCAAAACATCAAAATGTACTTTCCAAACGTCCAAAAGGTTTTCTTTCATTTGGACAAAGCAGGGTGTTATCACACCAGCAACTTTGATTGCAGCTGAGGGATCTGGGGGAGCGTGTTGGGATAAGTTCAACGTTATGATTTTTCTGAGCCTCAGCAGGGCAAGGACATTTGTGACAGGGTTTTGTGTCATATGAAAGCTGCAATATGAAGGTACTGCAACCATAGTTAACAGAATACCGGGTGTCCCCAAAAAGTGCTCTGGTTTGATTCTTAATAACTCTGAAGCAAGTGAAGCTATTACACTCAAATATATTTTATTTGACAGAGGAAAGGCTAAGTTAGATTTTGATATATTACAGTTGTATATTTATAAAAAACTGACCGAGATATTAATGTTCAAATTTGGTAGCATATTTGCAAAAACAGCATTTCAAATATCAACCAAGAGTTGCTCAACTTAAAGACATATTATTATCAGTAAATTGACGAATCTTAATAAAATGTCATTGTGAAACGAAGTTTTCTTGTTTATAAAATACAAGAAGATTTATTCATTCGGAATCACGTGACCTTTAACACAAATGCATTGCCAAGCTCATTGGAGACCATAGCGTCATGGCATATGTCGCTTCATGCAAAAACGTCTTGCATGTTGCGCTAATTGTTCGTTTTGTTGGGGCAGGAGTATTACCCCAGTGACCCGGCCATCTTCTGTTCTACATGCCTTTTTGCGAATACATATTACTGTATCAGCACAATATTTTTCATAAATTTTGTTCCAAGAATGTTGCATATCTCTGGGAAGTTGCATGTTGTGTTATGTTATATGTTGTTATGTTATGGTTTAATTGCATGGTCTAAGAGTTTGGATTAACTTACAGCATGCAAGATTCCAAAATGTGGCAGATATGAGTTTGTATGCATTTCATTTAGGACAGAAAATTTAAACGGTTTTAGGGCAAGTTGACCATGGCGGTCAACATGGTAACGCTGCCCGAACCCCAATCCGGGATGAAATGTCTGAAACTGACCACACCCAAAAATTATGCTTTCGCCAATCTGTTATCTACCAAACCATAAAAGCTCTGGCTATTCTGAGGTGCTTATATGGTTTAGAGATGGTGCTTTTAGGGGTGGTGATTGGTAAGTGTGAAATGCCTACCACTGATATTTCACAAGAAAATGACCATGCAATACTCATTGGCAAACGTCAATTTGTGGCTTACAACTTCAGATGAACAGCAGTGGACCTACATTAGCCTTTTTGCTAAATCTTTTTTATAGAAATATAATTGCTATTTATTTAAGTATATTATCACTGTTTTAGTATAAAATAGTTAATATTTTGTGACCGAAATAATAATTTGAAATGTACCAGGTACCTCCTGCAAATGGACGTATTTGGCCAAATTCGTCACTTTACCCTGCTGTTTATTGCCGATACTTTAGAAATCCTTCCAACTATGCAATTCAACTCAGACATAATGGTATCAAATTTTAAACAAGTTTTAACTAGGTTTCTAGTAGATCCTAGCTGTTTAACCATTGGCAAAGTAAAACCTCAACTTTGTCCAAATTCGGCGCCATTTTGTTATCCTGTGTCAGTTGTGAACAATTCGGCCTCGTTATATTCTTCCATCCAAGCCATGTCGATTGCACCAATAACAAATTTAACCCTTTATTAACTCTTTCTCGACAAGTGGTTTTGCATCACATTACGATTCAATTTTTCTAATGTAAATATCTCGGTGAGTATTTACCCCCCTTTAAAACAAAAACCACCATTGAAATCCTCACCAAATTACCTTTTGAACGGGGGGTCTAGTGCCATCAAAACAATACACAGATCGAAACAATCATATATTTATAGGAATATGTCGAGAAAGAGTTTAAAACAGTGTAAATCACTCATGATTTATCACTTTGCGGTTCATATCTTTGGTTCGGTAAATGCTATGAGGACAAAAATACCACCATTCAATTCAGTGTAACAATATCTCCTCATTCCTATTGATAGTTTTAGTCAATGGCAACATTATAGCGATTTATGAAGATTGTATATGATCAAATTATGCAATATTACTAACAAATTATAAACGTAAACATACCTTTCGCCGAACATAACTTCGGCCCCTTGAGACATATGCTCATTGAGATAGTCTTGTTAGATTAAGCATTAAAGATGCAATACACAGTGTTATTTTCAAGCTTCTATGTATAAGTTGTGATCTTTTATTGACAAATTTACATTTCTGGTCCAAGTTTGCGATAATCCCAACGGGAAATAGGACTTAAAAACGTCAAAACAATGCGACGTTTGTATCATGTGACTCTGCAAATGCCAGAAATGGATTATACAGGTCAAAGTGCACCCACGCACGCGAGTTTGACATCATCCCGGCTAAAGGAGCTCCTTATTGGCCAAGTATTGCATAATACACGCACATGCAATCTTGAAAAATAAATATTTCTCCTCGCCGTATTCAATTGAAACGTTCTACACAAAAGCGCTTGAATACAAACAAGTATTTTACACATATAGCCGTTCAGAAAATGACGAAAAGTTTAGAAGATATTCAACTTTTTCTCAATATGAAACACAGAATGTTTGGCCAAGCGGTCAGTATAAATATATAATGATTTTCGGTTTGTGTAATGTTTTGACGGCAACGTTGAAGGTTACTTTGTGAGGATTTCAATGGTGGTCTTTGTTTTAGAGAGGGGTAAATACTCGCCGAGATATTTACATTAGAATAATTGAATCGTAATGTAATGTGAAACCACTTGTTGAGAAACAGTTTAAGGGTATGGAAGTGAACATATAAAAAAAGATACGAAATGCAGCATTTTATCACCCTGTAAAATGTTGCTTACGAGCTGTCAAAACAATTCCGTACAAATCTCGCATGGGCAAGGTATATAGGGGGTGAATGTTTTTCACGAAGATTGAGTTAGGCTTGCGTGTGACAACGGGGGTACCCAAGCAGACTAATTAACTTTAGTTGAATATAGACTAACCCTAACTCTGAAATGCATCCTAAACTATACTGTTATTTACTATACTGTTATGTACTTTTCTGAACTAATAACACATATTTTTCTACATTTTTTGTCCAAATATATTATACAAACATATATAAAAGTTCATATTTTAAGGTTACAGGACACCCTTTTTGGCGTTTTGCAGAAAATCGCTACTGCATGCTCAAAATCAGTCTGATCGATTTTCATCAAATTTTCACCAAATGTTCGCCAGTGCATGCAAAATATGGTAAAGTTGTAAAATTGGCAAACAAAATAATGTGAGAATTATTCAGGAAAATCTTAAATCGCAGTACCTTTACGCTTTTGAGTTGTGTTCCTGCTGGTTTTACAATATATTTAAGAAAATATCATTTTTATACAGTAAAATAGTTGTTCTAAAAAATTGTGTTCAGAAATTTTTGTTTATTTCATCATTCCGCTGATATGGCGATTTCTTTGACGACTGCAATATATTTCTGAATCGTTTGAGTGAATTGCTCCTTACTATTAAACTCTCCAAAATTAGAACAAAGCCGAACACAATTTTGCAACTGACATCTTTAGCTATGTCTTGTGAAAATTTGAGAAAAATTTGTTAAAATCCGCAGGAGAATAACTCGTTTGAAAATCAGTAATTGCCATAAAATGTTTCGGGAGAAAATTGAATTTGAATATTACATTTTCAATGTTTTTCTTATTGCAGCAAAATGTATTTTATTAAATAACTCTGCATGGTTTCAACATTTTTTGCTCAAACTTTGTCAGATAGTAGGACTAGTCTAATGCTTTCGTGGAAACCAATAAAAAAATTTTAGGCAAAATTAACACTCAAAGGTGTTCTGTAACCTTAATGTCAAGTATAATAAACTGCAACTCCGACTTGTTATTTTTAGAATGTTACTTTTAATATTATTATTCTGAATTCGAACGCAATCAGGCCTCGTGTTTTATTAACTCGGGCCAGGGCGCTATAAAACACGGGCAACAGGTGGCCAATTTGTCGACGCTGACCAAAAATAGCGGCTCATTCCTTCTCAAGTTGCCATTTTCGTGTCGAAGAGCAAAAATATAGACTTTCAGAGAATATTTTAGCTGTTTACTATCAAATATGTTTGTGAAACAGTTGATAATCTTACTGAGGAAGGCCAACAGTTTCTGAAAAGCTCAAGTACATCAAAATCTAGCTTTGGAATAGACTATATTTTC